GAACAGTCATCTACAAAACTGAGTCCATAGCCGAAGTCCATGATTGCAGTGTCAGCAGACAAATGTTTTTACAACACATTCTGCCAAACCTTCAACAGAGCAGAATCTGTGATTCAACAAACAGTTCCAGCAAACAGAAAGACGTTACCCAGGTCATTTTACAAGATGCTAAAAGCTGCCAAGATACGTAAGTGAGAACCACAGACATAGTAAAGCCCACTCTGTATATAACGACATTAAATACAGTTCAAGCCAGACATGGTGTACATGCCTGTAATCCCAGTTCTTAGGAGGCAGATGTAGGGAGGTTAGCCTGGGCTACAGAGTAAGACCTGTATCAAAACAATACCTAAAGCAGGTGTAGTAGTGCATACCTGTAATCTCCGCACTTGGGAGGGGGAAGCAGGAGAATTGGGAGCCCAGGGTCAACCTGAGCTCTATAACAAGTTCAAGTGCGGGCTACATGAGGCTGTTTCCAACAGCACCAGACCGTGGCTTGAGGGCTTCATTAAAAACATAGAACTTGATACATTTGCATGTTATCTTTCCACAGAGCTCATGCTAATCTTTTTCGTAACATTCCAACTTTAGTACATGGCCAACTGAAGTAAATAATCATGGATACTATGTAAGTGTTTTAAAGTGATCTGGATACTAGGTGTTTTAAAGCAATCTCCACTTTTCTATGTATTTGAAATTTTTTCCATTATTTAAACTTGTTATTTGACAAATTTACACATGTACATAATGTATACTGAATGCTCTCAACCCCCAGCTCTCCATCTCCCTATTATCCTGTCTACAAATCCCTTTCTCCTGTTGGGTCTCTTTGTATAGTTTTATGACCCGCTGAGTTTAAGCAGTGACAGCATTGGAGCATTCCCTCAGAGCTTTGTGGGCTCAGCAGGGGGTGCACAGCTGGAGACAATGTTTCTCCATCTTCCAGAAACTATCAAGAACCAGTAGTTCAGCAGAAAGAAATACACTCCATGCCCCCTCCCTCTCTGACTGACTGTTGACAGGGTCTGTTTTGTCTTAGGTGGGCGGCTGCAGGTAACCACACTCGGAAGTTCCTGACTGCAATGGTTAGAGTATAAGCGATGGCATTCACAGCCCTTTACTTATTTTCTGGCTTTTACCTATTCTAAGGCTCAGGAAACATTGTAGAAGAAAGGGAAGCAAGCAGATGGAATATTTTATATAAAAAATACAGGCAAGGCCGGGCAGTGGTGGCACAGGCCTTTAATCAGAGGCAGGTGAATCTCTGAGTTCAAGGTCATCCTGGTCTACAGAATGAGTTCCAGGACAGTCAGGGCTATATAGAGAAACCCTGCCCTGAAAATAAATAAATAAATAAATAAATAAATAAATAAATAAATAAATAAATAAATAAATAAATGAATAAATGAATAAATATAAAGGCCAGTGTGCTGGCACATGCTTTAAGTTCCAGGACAGCCAGAGCTATTTAGAGAAATTCTGCCCCAAAAGTAAATAAATGAATGAATAAATAAATAAATAAATAAATAGGTCAGTGTGATGGCACATGCTTTAATCCCAGCACACAAAAGACAAAGACAGGAGTAGGTCTGAGTTTCAGAGCCACTTGGTGATACCTTATTTCAAATAAATAAATAAAAAGATGATAATACATAAATAAAGAATCTCAGCAATAGTTTTTTTTGTTTGGTTTGTTTGAGTTTTTTTTTTTTTT